CTACATAGAGGCAAAAGGAAAGAAGGAGGCTATTATATTGACCACTGAGGAAAGATTGTACATATGAACTTTTTGTGCTTTACTCTTTAAGTCTTGGTTAAAAGCATTGAGCTTCAGATACTTTTTTCCTGCTAGTCTTTTTTTCTGGCTTATACCTTTTCCTTTAGAGCACTTATAACTGTTTAAGTTGTATGGTTATTTGTGTTTGTTCTCTACTAGACTACAGCTTCTTCATAGTCATTATCTTAGTAGGTTCAGTGTTGTCCCCTTTCCCTGTCCCCTTTGTTTGGTATTAATTAATGTGCCTAGCACATACTAAGCATGTAAAAAACTATTTCTTGAATGAATGAACTTGAAAAGATGCCTTGTAGTACCTTGTAAGTGATCTGGTAGAAGTTTTTCAAGGACTGCTTATTTTAATTAATTTTATTTATTTTATTCTATTTTTTGTGCTTTTGACCTACAGCTTATACAACCAGATTACATAAGTTTTCTGGTAACACCTACATTGTCAAAATTCAATCAATTTATGTAGAGGAGTTGCCAAAAATAGTTTCATGCAGTATAAATTATAGCTCTCGGAGGACCCTGCCTCTTTGCTTTCTCCCAAGAGCTTTGTTTTGAGAGATTTCCTACTAGGTTAGTTTTATTCTGCAGTAAGAATTGGGTATAAATATAATCAAAGTAAAATACGAGAGGTATGATTAAGAAGCACTGTTATTAAAGAACCATCTATAGACCTGTATCTTTTTAAAGACATTTTATCTTCCCTTTTAAAATCCTCAGCAAATACAGTCCCTTGTTTAGTGTTTGTAGAGCCTTCTTGATAAAATAACAAATTTGCTACTTGTTAAATCTTTTATGGGCTGTTGCATGTCAGTATTTAACCATTAGTATTCTTTCTACTAACATATGCCTTCTTTAAATGTCCAATTCATAATTCACCTTTTTAATAAAAATTTTTATATGGATGTATATATAGAATTTATAAAAAGCTGAAGGAAGTAAAGATTTATGTTAGGTGACTGTATGCTTTGTCATTCAAACCAGGCCACTTTTAAGAGACAGTGCAAGTACTATTAATAATTGTCCCAGGATAATGAGCACAAATTAGGACTTTTCTTGCCATAAACTGGGACTGGTCTAGGCAAACCAGGAAATATGGTCATCTCTGCTTAAAAGGAAAACAGCAGTCCTTTGCCTCACCCTTTACCTCATTCCCAGTCCCGCTTTCCATAGGCAGCAATCCTCACCTTTTAGCTGTTTTAGGATTTACCTTCATATTTCTAAATGATGTGTTCATGATTTTTTAGTATTATATATGTGCTTTTTTATTCACCATTGTGGTGGCTCAATCACACAGCATGTTTGTAGCAAAATTGATACAGTAATCTTATGTTTACACTATCTTAACTATATAAATATTAAAGAGTTCACCCAAACACTGCAGCATCTCCTTTCTTGAACAATAGCTCTGTTTTCCCAAGTTACAAAATTAATGTATTAAATTTGCCTTTTGTTCTAAGTACTCAGCATTTTTTTCCCAATTGTATTATCATCTCTGCCACGAGCCAAAATAGTTTCCGTATGATGCTATTTTTTCCTGAGAATTTGCTTCCATTTTCTGTGATCCTGTTCCAGTCTTGATCAGTTGCTCCCTATGCTTTCCACATAATTTTGTAACTGTTTCCTGGGTTCTGTGTCTGGTTCTTTAATTCTTTACACTCCTGTTTTCCTAGGACCTGCTCTTCATTTAACTAACTTCTTATGGTTTTGTTTTTTAATAGTTTTTTTAAATCTTTCATGTCTGAATACTCTTTTCTCCACCTCACATTTAGTTGCTAGATAGGAGTTCAATGCTAAATTTTTTTCTCAGTACTATAGGCATTGCTTTATTGTCTTGAGAGTTTTTAAAGTTGTAATTAAGAAGCCATTCTGATTACTTTTCTTTTGTATATGACCCATTTTTCCATTCTTGTAAATTATAGAATCTTCTCTTTCTTTCTGGTGTTCTGAAACTTCAAGATGATAAATGGTATTTAGTGTTGGTCTTTTTTCTTTGATCCTGCCCAGTACTCTTGACCCCTTTCAATGTGGAGATTTGTGTCCTTCAATTCTAGAAAAGTTCTTTCGTTTCTTTGATAATTTTCTCTACCTTATTTTCTTTTTTCTCTCTTTCTGTAACCATACTTACCGTCAAATGATCGATAACTCCCCTGGACAATTCTCCTGTTTTTTGAGTTACATTTTCTACTTCTGGGAGGTGTCCCAATCTTTCTGTTGGTTTATTTTAGTGTATCACATTTCTTTTTTAAGTGTGTAACATTTTGAATTTCCACAAGCTGTTCATTATACTGATTGCTTTCTCAAGCATCCTGTTTTTATTTTATGAATGAATGTCTTTTGCTCCCTTTGAGGATAGTAGTTAATTAGCTCCTTTCCCCAGATTTTCTCTTAAGTTCCTTTTTTTGTTATTTACTTTAGTCTTATGGGAGGTTTTCCTTGTATACCTAGTGATCCTTGATGTTTGTCTATTAGAGGGAAGCACTAAAAAAAGCTGATTAGAAACTCTTAGTGACTAGTGGACTTTGCTTTGGGTAGGATGGTCAAATGGCAGGCTAGCTGTGTAATTGGAAGCATTCCAAATGTCAGTATCCAGAAATTTTATCTCAGGTATTTTGTTTGGTTTTCTGACAGCATTGTAAAAACAGCACCAGGAAAGAGTTTTTGGGTCTCAACATTGAATATATAGATTTTCTTTTATTCCTTATACTTAACCTTTGCAGAGATGGTTGTATATTTCCTGGGTGGGGGTGGGGAGGGTTACATGGGAGATCCTTATTCTCCAGAGAATAAATATCCTGTTTTCGGAAGAATGGTACTAGGGGGAGAATTGAGGGTTTTACTGCTCCAAGTACAGATTTTAATTCAGCAACTCCATGCATCATCCCTTTTTTATGATACCTTGTATCTCCAGGTCTTGATTCTTTCTAGGATGCTAAGGCCAACTGCTTTGCTTCCAGTTCCTACCTCTTTCTAGAAAGTACCTAGGGTGTATTTTTTATCGTTTCTGCTGAATTACTCTACCTCTCCTCGGACTTTTTTGGATTTTCCAAATATAACATTGAAATCTCTTGCCTATTATGGTCCCTTTTCCTATTCTTTTCATAGTTAAAGCTTTTGGATTCATCGACTGTCATTTTATAGGGGTTTTGGAAAGAGGGACCAAAACAGATGCATAAGGATAACCTTGTCATGTTTAACTGGGACTTCAAACAGACCTTTTCTGATAAGCTATCTTTGATTTAATCATGTCCCAGAGTGTAGCTTTTACTCTGGTTTCTCATTAGCTAGATACTCTTAGTCGAATAATTTTAATTGATATTAGGCTTGTGTTATATCTTTTTCATGTTTGTTGTGTATCCTACTGCAGTATTGGCCATATGTTTTGTTGATGTTTTTGCGTCTTCATCCTCTTTTCTGTCATTGCTTGACACCCTGTTTTTGAGGCAGATATTGAAAAAGGAAATTCTTTTGTAGTAACTTTTAAGGTAGAATGATGCTAAAACTTAGTTGATAAGTTAATGAGTTGAAAGTGAATTAGATATTTTTAACTTAAATGTTTAGATTTGAAGGTTTTAATACAGCAAATACACCTATCTAGGCAAGTGAAGTACATTTTTCTTGCCTTAATTTCAATCCACTACCAGAAAAATAAGGGAATAATTTTTGACCTTGAAAGTGGGTAACTGGGAGGAGTTGAAGAGATTATTGTGATTTTTTTTTACTGTTACTTTCTTTTGCCCTTCTCTTTTTACTCTCAAGACTGGTGGTATCTCAGTTGTTCAGAGGCCTCATTGTAAATCCTTTCCCCAGAAAACTTTAAAAGTTTTTCTTTAATTTATAAAATTAATGTTTTTATAGCAGCCTTACTTGTAATAGCCTAAAACTGGAAACAGTCCAGTGTCCATCTGCAGTAGAATAGACAAATAAATTGTGTGTATTGATACAGTGGAATATTACATAAACTAATCAGAGTGAACTTACTACAACTGCATGCAACAGCAGAATTAGTCTCACAAATATAATGTTGAGCAGATGAAGCCAGACATAAAGGAGTACATGTTGTATGAATCCACTTATAGAGAGAGTTAAAAAATAAGGCACAGCTAATGGTGACTCTTGGCATGTGTTGAGGAATGTTTAGTGAAGAAAACTTAGAAATTATTCTCACTTTTGAGAAGGGGAGACAGGAAAACAAATTACAGTGTGTAACATGATGTCTTTAAAAAAGTATGTAAAAAGTGGAAGTAACACTTGATCTTGTTTTAAGACTATGCCTAGGAATTGAATGGGGAATGTATAGACTTTGCAGGCACATACAAAGTCCTGTGAGAGCATATTGTGTTCGGGAATGTACAGATACTACAGTATAGCTAATGCTATGAGTATCGAACATTCATAATAGGAATAACAAGAGTCAAGGGCTGATTCGTGTAGGATTTTATTTACTTATTTACTTTATTTATTTACTTATTTAGGCTGTGCCGGGTCTTAGTTGTGACACTTGGACTTCATAGTTGCCGCATGCAGAGTCTTAGTTGCAGCATGCATGCGGGATCTACTTCCCCAAGCAGGGATCAGACGCGGGCCCCCTGCATTGGGAGCGTGGAGTCTTACCAATTGGACCACTAGGGAAGTCCCTAGGATTTTATATAGAGGAAATTGAATAAGGAAAAGAGCTCAGGCTTTAGAAACAACAAACCTCAGTTTCTCATCACCACTTTTATCATGTTTGCTTCATTTTATGGGCAATAGGGAACCTTTGATGGTCTTCAGACCTCTGCCTGTAGAAGGAGAGTGATGATAATCTCACAGTTTACCATTCGGTTAATTTGCATGGTTAATTCTTGATTTGAGCTGATCATTAAGGAGAGGATTAAGAATCAAAGGTTTGCATGATTTCCAAAAGGCAATTAATCAAAATTTGCATTTCACAGGAAACATTAAGAATGGAGTCTAAACCTTCAAGGATTCCAAGAAGAATTTCTGTTCAACCCTCTAGCTCTTTAAGTGCTAGGATGATGTCTGGAAGCAGAGGAAGTAGTTTAAATGATACCTATCACTCAAGGGACTCTTCGTTTAGACTGGATTCTGAATATCAGGTAACATCTTAATTTGGAATGTGTGTATATACACAGTCTCATTTTCAAAATCCTTGGGGCCATGTGATTTTCTGGATTTTAGAAAAGTAGTAGAGTGTGTTTATAATACCCTCAGCTGGATCTGAGGCATCCTGTAATCAAAAGATTAATATATCTGCAGCGGACTGATTTAATGTTCCACACTAGCAAAAACTTAATGTTTTTCAAAGTTTTGAACTTAAGAATTTTGAATAAGGGATTGTGGTCATAAGTAAAATGTTCATAGTTTCCAAAGACTTGGAAACCTTCTAACCTAAAAGCATTGAAGTATCAGTTGAATTAACAGGCTGTCTTTTACATGAATTATGGGGTTTTATTTTTACAGTTAGTAATGAGTTTGCATTGATTCATAATCTACATAAAGCAATCTAAGTTCCTTTTATGTAGCTAATTTTCCTTAGGACCAATAACACTTTGGTTTTTGAAATAGCTTATTATTGTTATAACAATGGTTGTAGTATAAAACTGTAAATCTCAGAGGCATGGTTTGTAGCTTTAACACAGTTTATCTTGCTCATCTTTCAAATGTTAAGTTTATCGCATTATTGGCTGAACACCTCATTAAATCGCACGACATTTGCCAAAAGTCTGATGTTTCGGTAACTGACTCTAAGAGAATCCTTTAGTGAAAATGTCTGTTTAAGTCTTAAGTAATGTTTATATATTTATATATCATGCAATGTACTATATGATAAAGTCATTTGAAAGTTCTTCTGCGTAGTAATAAGCATTTTATAAAATACTCAGAGAAGCACAAATGAAATAAAATAATTTCTCTAAAATGCCCATATCTACTGCCAGCCTGCTGACATTATGTGTACTGTTTACTTGGACTTATTTTAAATGTTGTTTGATAATGTATTTTTTTTACTCTGTTGCTAGGCAAGAGTATGCTTGCCAGAGGTGCAGAATCACATATTTTCCATTCTACAGAAATGTTGTAGGTTAAATGATTGTGACTTGTTAAGAGCACACAATTGGGGTTTTTTCCTATATTAATAAAATTTTGTCTACTGATCTTTGTCTAATTTTTCGTATAGCTAATTAGTGAGGAACACAGACTCTGAAACGAGACTAAAAGTCTTGAATATATTTAGAAAACTTATTGCCATTCACTTTAAAGTAATATTTTCAGACTTTTTCGTCCAGTTCTTAATGTCATAGATTATTCTGAAAGTCTAATTTTTCATTGTGGAAGTTAAACAAATGCAAACATGAAAAAAAATTTTAAATGTTTTATTGGTTCTTAGTAAGATTAATCAGTTTTATAAATTTTGGTGTTTTCCTTAATGTTTTTCAGTTATTTTAAGTAGCTTCCGATCTTTTTCTTTCTTTCTTTAATGGGTTATAGGAATATTTCCAATCTTGTCAACTATTTGTAGGCTGCTTTGCTCTTTTAGTTTTGATTTAGGAACTGAAATTCCTGTGTTCTTGAGGAAAGTACTTTTCTGTTTCCTCTTCTGTGAAATGGTGATAATGGTAATTTTCTCACATAGTTACTGTTAAAATTAATTGGAAGAAATAATACATGTAAAGCACTTAGAACAACAGTGCCTGGACCCTAGTAAGAGTTCAGATGTTACAGGTTATAATTATCATTGTGACTGCTGTTGTTATCATTTCCTGGCTTTGCATTGGTTTAAAGAGATAATTAATATCCTTAGGGGATAGTATAATATGTTATCAGAATATTTAAATTATATATCACACATTTAGTTTTATTTAATATTCTTAAGATTATTCAGCAAGATGTGTACTTAATGAATGAAAGAGACCTTTGAATATCAAAGGGAACTTTTTTGGTTAATTGCTGATATTTTCTGACTCAAAACCATCTGGGACACAACACTCTTCCTCCCCCCTTTTTTTAAAAATTATTTATTTATTTATTGGCTGCGTTGGGTCTTCATTGCTGTGCGCAGGCTTTCTCTAATTGCGGCCAGTGGGGGCTACTCTTTGTTGCGGTGTGCGGGCTTCTCATTGTGGTGGCTTCTCTTTGTTGTGGAGCACAGGCTGTAGGTACGCGGGCTGCAGTAGTTGTGGCATGTGGGCTCAGTAGTTGTGGCTTGCAGGCTCTAGAGCGCAGCCTCAGTAGTTGTGGCACACAGGCTTAGTTGCTCTGTGGCATATGGGATCTTCCCGGACCAGGGATTGAACCCTTGTCTCCTGCATTGGCAGGTGGATTTGTAACTACTGTGCCACCAGGGAAGTCCCTCCCCTTCTTTATTATACTTAGTGAACCTTGAGAAAGGAGGGTCAGAACAGGGCATAGTAGTTCAGTCTCATTTACATTATGGATCAGATGATAAGAAAACACCTTATTTATACAGTGCTTGACATTTTGCAGCAAATTTTTAATTTTTAATCTTAGTTAAATAGGACAGATGCTTGTGTCATTTCATAAATAAAGATCTGAAATCTGGAAAGATAAGTGGTTTCTCCCAGTTCCAGGATTAGTATACAGTGTGCCTGAGCTGAAGAATCTAAGACTTCTGGATAGCATTGTGTCTTTGGCAAATGTAGGTTCTAAGTTCCAAACAATTGATTTTCTAAATGTCTTTTGGTTCTTGGCCATTTGTAAGCTGGGCTGCCTCTGCTGTTAATCTTGCTGATATTTCTGTTACTCTATCTTTAAATTTTTGTTACAATTTGAATGGTAGAAAACTGTGATCACCTTAATCTCTTTGGTAACAGTAAATAGAATTTTAGATATTTTTGGAAAGAAAATTTATGTAATTCATATTGTTAAAAGTGAAAATTTGGGAGTATTCTGTGAATATGTAATTATTTTTGTTACTTTTATATATTTTTCTGTAACTTAATTTAAGCAACCCCTAATCCCACTTCTTGCTTTGTGGAGAGATTGATTACTTTTAATATGAAATAATAAAATAGGCTTTTTATGGAGGTTCTAGGTGTTGTTTTATTTTATTTTATTTATTTATTTATTTTTTTGCGGTACGCGGACCTCTCACTGTTGTGGCCCCTCCCGGTGCGGAGCACAGGCTCCGGATGCGCAGGCCCAGCGGCCATGGCTCATGGGCCCAGCCACTCCACGGCACGCAGGATCCTCCCAGACTGGGGCACGAACCCGTGTCCCCTGCATCAGCAGGTGGACTCCCACTACTGCGCCACCAGGGAAGCCCTCTAGGTGTTTTTTACAGTTTTTTACATCTTTTTCTAGTTTGTATATTAAGTTACAGAACTCAGTACTATTGCGTATTTTGCAAAGTATATATTTTCAAGAATTAAAATAACCAATGGTCATTAACCTTTTTTCTGCTCATTTTGGTTTGTTTATCTGCTACAAAGGTAGTTTCCAGGGAAATACATACATATATACATACACACACACACACACACACACACACACACACACACACAATTGGACAAGAAAATGAAAATCAGGAAAATACAAATAAAATATTGAGAGTGAGTTAAGGTTGTTTATAACATTGGTATGCATTTGTAAGCCCTTGGCAGTATTCTAAAGTTAAACTTCGGCCCTTGTGTGGGTGGCAGGAGATCACAGGGAAACACAACCAGGTCTATAAGGTGTTTTGTTCATAAGGAAAAGGAAGCAGTGCTTGGCAGTTTAGTCTGAAAGCGGGGACAGTGAATGATATAGAAGACAGTGTCTACAGGGCAGTATTCATACTATAAGTATATACCTAGTTTAGTGAAACTATTTCTTGGTAAACAGTATATGCAAAGGACATGATGTCAAACTACAGGTCAGTGAAAACAGTTCTGTAAAGGGACAACAGAGTGATCTAAATATTAACATTCTTGTAGTCTGTCTTGATCCAGATATTAATCCTAGGATATTTTGAGGGATAAATGAACTCCTAGTCATTCCATTTTGTGTAAACATAAGGTTTCTTACCTAGATTTCTCATAAAGTTGGGCATCATGAATCCATACATTCTTAAGATCAGCTGTCTTTTTTGTGATAATTGAGAAGACTGCTCATTCTGAATAGAAACTAGAATGTAAGACTTCTGCATTAGCCTGGATATGGATACTCTCCAGCATGTGAATATTTAAAATAAAGAAGAGGTCAAAGTTTTAAGTTGTTGCTTATGGTCTGGAAAATTTTTAAGCAGGAATTGTCAGTCATCACAGTCAAGGCATTGATTCATGGAAATGAGGAGACAAGGAAGAGCATTTTATTCTGGACTTGCTTCCATTACTGTGCGTTATATGATTTCTCTTGATTAAGCGTTGTCCAGTGAATAACATTGGTTGCATTTGCAGCAATTGTTAAGATTATTTTTTTAATAATAGCTTTATCGAGTTATAAATCATATAACATATGACTTGCCCATTTAAAGTGTACAATTCAGTGATTTTTAGTATATTCACAGAATTGTGCAAACCATTGCCATAGTCAACTTCAGAATCTTTCATTACCTCAAGAGAATATCCCAGGTCTTTTAGCTGTCACTAAACTGTCTCCCTCCTCTCCCCCTGAGCAATAAGCAGCCATTAATCTACTTTCTGTCTCTGTAGATTTCCTTATTTGGAACTTTCATATACATGAGTAGAAACATTCTGTATGGTCTTTTATTACTAGTTTGTCTTACATAGCATGTTTGTTTAAAGTTCATCTACATGATGATAGCAGTATCCGTATTTCATTTCTTTTTATGGATGAATAATATTCTATTGTATGGATGTACTACATTTTGTTAATTCATTCAACCACTGATGGACATTTGGGATGTTTTCACCTTTTGGCTATTATGAATAATGCTGCTGTAAGCATTCATGTGCAAGTCTCTCTGTGGACTAATGTTTTCAGTTATCTTGGGTATATACCTAAGAGTAGATTTGCTGAATCATACATACAATAACTCTATGTTCAGTTTTTTGAGGAACTGCTACACTGTTTTCCAAACCCGTTGGGCCATTTTATATTCCCACAGAAGTTATACATGAAAGTTCTGATCTCTTCATCC